AATAATGCTAGTAATAATTACCTGCCCAAGGGATTCTACGAAACAAGTCATGTGTTCATCCATGGAAGCATGAATAAACCGACTAAAGCTATTCCTCATAGTAGCAACGAGCCCTGCATTGTCATATTTCACCCCTCCACATGGAGAGATCGAGCGTAGAGTAGATTCAGATTCTGGGGCTTGCGCAGCGGATTGGTTTTTCTTGGACTCCATCTGGTCTAGCACCTAACAAGGAAGGCTTCGAAATTAACAATAAGTCTCGCAAAAAGAGTGACAAATCAAAAGCAAAAGATGGGTGAAGATTTGACCCAAGGACGTGAAAGGGCTGAAGCGAGAGAGATAAATTGAGTTATATGTTAGGTTTCTTGATATACTTGATGACAATATCCTGCGTGGGTCCTTAAAATAGAAGAAGAAAAAGACTTGTAATCTAACTCTTAGATTAACTTTTAATTAAATTAGAATTTGCCATTGAGTTGCGTTACTAGTAACTGATTAGTCTATATCATTGAGTTCCATTAAGCTGTAAGTCTTCTTGGACTATTAGTAATTGATTAGTTTATTAATTATATAACTTAATTAAATAAAATAAGATTCAATAACTTAATGAAGCAATCAAAGCATCTTTAGGATAATCATGGCAATTTGCATCAAGTTCATTTTTCGCAAATTTGATCCAATTGGACATTTAAAAGGAATTTCGACAAGCCCAATTACTACATATAAGCATGTCGCTAAGTCTCCTTCATTTCCTAGAGAAATTGCCAGCTACATAAAGATTTCCTCATAGTAGCAACGAGCCGTGTATTGTCATAATTCACCCTTCCGCATGAAGAGATCGAACGTGGAGCAGATTCTGATTCTGGGGCTTGCGTAGCAGATTGGATTTTCATGGACTCTATACCCAACAAGGAAGGCTTCAAAATTAGCAGTAAGTCTGGCAAAAAAAAATGACAAATCTCAAGCAAATAACGGGTGAAAATTTGACCCAAAATCGATTTGAAAAGGTTAAAGGCAAAGAGATAAATTGAGTTAATATCTTCTGGCGTGTTTGATTCAAAGGCAAATACGTAGTCCAAGAAAAATACTAAGCTTGCGCCACAAGAACGGTACTTGGGAAAGAATTTAGGGTTAAAAAAATCATTAAAGGACGGCGTATTTGTTTATGACTCTACTAGAGACGACACCGTACGGTAGATATGATTTCAAATAATGGCTCTCTTTTTCTCCAAAGTCACCGCATCGTACCCTTGATAAGGTCCCGCAGAGGAAGAGTTTGGGTGATTTTGGAAGACAGCCTTTTGCTTGCGTGGCTAATCCTTATTGGTTGACTTTCTCCGAAGAAGAGATCGAATGAACCGTAGCAAGTGAAACTGTAGATAA